ATATATATATATATATATATATATATACACATGCATATCTAATTGCTTTAAAAGTGCATCTATATGATACAGTAAACTCTGCACATAATTAATCGGCAGTGCGTTGTAATAATCCATATTGATCAATTTTTAAATATATTTTCAACAATGAAAAATATATTTTTAAAAATCATTTTTAAAAATATATTTTATCAAAGAAATAAATTTTCATAATACACATATATATGTATATATCGAAGTTATTCTGACTTCTTTAATGAGAGAGTTTACTGTATCAGTCTTAGAGATGATTCGTTTAAATGCTAATTTGCTAACTAGCATCATTTGTACATATAATACATTCGTTCAAATTCTGGTGCGACATACGGTGTTCGCCCTCAAAAAAAGTTAGTTAATAACATAGTTGATGAGAGAGTTTTAAAATGTAAAGTTCCATTGTCATTTCACAGCATCATCAACTTTTTAATGGAGTATAATCATTCGATTTTAGTTATTAATCGAGCTTATCGAATTTTTTTCGGCCCAAAGATGAGATCGGCATCGGGTGCTCCTTTAGGGTGATTATATTTTTGTCGTCGTTCCCTATTCAAGTTTACGGTGACTGGTCTCGTACTTTGATTCATAGTTTCTTGATAATCTTCCTCCTCTTGCCTCTCAGTAATGTTTAAAGTTAGTCTCTTCACACGCTCTTTCTCCTCTTTTTGTTCCTGTTCGCGATTTCTGAGATTCATAGCCAACTCAGATGACACCGGAACTGCGAGATTCTTGTACTGTTGTTTGTTACCCTTCCTCAGCATCAGCACAAAGTCCACTGTGCTATTGTCGGTTGGTCTCTCTTGCAGTTGTTCGTATGTCTTCTTTGTACTCTTCACGTGTAATGGCACGGAGATATCCACTTGTTGTGGTTTTACCGAATCTCGCATGCGATCCTGTATGTTGTCTGAGACCATTTTATCCAGCGCCGACAGGAAATCATCGTCCTCCGGACAGCTCACCCGTCGTGGTCCAGACGGTAAAGCTGCATTCAATTCCTCTGTCACGTCTACAATTACGCCTTCAGTGCCACCGTCTGCCGACAGACTCTGAGATCGGTCACCCTGAGTGTTTTCTTGGGTGCCCATAGTGTCGTCTCGTTCTGCATCGGCTGTCCATTCCTCTTCCGACTGCGCTTCCGAACAATCTTCGGATTCTTCGAAATGCAATTCAGCCATACCTTTGGCATCTCCGCTACCGTTTCCGACCAATGCTGTTTCTTCATCGCCTTCCAGGATAACGCCCATGTCGTTTTCGCCTTCGGGAGTAGTATCATCAACTGGAGGATTACCCAAGGTTGGATAGAGGGTGTTGCGTAATTCTTCTACGGCGCATTGCGCTTCCTTGTAATTCTGGAATAATTGCATTTTGGGTCGTAGCATCGTTAATGTGTCACGATACATGTAATCTATCCCAACGGGGAACGGATTCTCAGACGTCCAGATCGGATCCGTATACTTAAACCAGAAGTAGTTTTGGAAGAATACGAGAAAATAATCGAGTTTCTTCTTGCTTGATCCGCCGCTGAAGTACTGGCCACAAGTCTCCAATAATGTGCACACTAGACGAATGCGAAAGAGATGATCAGGCGGATCGAGCACACTTTGCAACGAATGGTCCACACTGACGCCAAAAGTAATAAGCAAATACAAAGTACGGAAAATATCGCCGCTTTCCACCATTCGATAGTTGTATAGCTCACCCAAGTACTTGACCATAGCAATGCGTCGTTGATTGAATTTGGGCAGGTTGATTTCCATGCACAGTCGTATATCTTCGAGTACACCGTCGACCACTTGTGGCCCGATCGTTTCATAATGGGCTACCAAGCCGGCTAAGAGGCTTCCCACGCATCGAATATTGGGATATTTAACATTGTAGGCGGCAGTGAGACATTTTATAGCATAGGATGATACGCTCTCGTCCTCCCAGTCAAGTTTGCGCATCCATTTGAGCACTTTGTCAGTATTCGTCTTGGAGAGATCCTGATAAAGTAGTTTTCTAATAAATTCATGTACGGGCGGTCTGTCCTTCTTTGTAACGCCGCCGGTCGATTCGGGTGGATTCACGAAGTAGTACGCGTTCTCGATAATCGTGACGTAGCGCGAATCAAGTGCAGTAACTGCTTTTTTGCGCATCATTTGCTCCAGATAGACCTTGGTCCTTTGATGAGAATCCGGCGAACAGAAGAGATATCGACCGCAAATCTCTAACAAGTTGCAAGCCATTTCAATGTGATGATGCGTAAAATCGTGTAGTAAAACCTTCAGACAATACAATGCTTCTATTTTGGAGTAAAGTTTAAACTTGACGAGTTCACCGATATAGCGGACCACTTTGATTTTCGATTCAATATTGATCTGATCCTTCTTACGAACATGGTATTTAAAATCTTGTTTCAACATCTGACACAAGTCGTTGCCAATCTCTGGCATTACTGGATAAAGAATGGCTGCTAAGCGAGAATAAAAGGGTAGTAAATCCTGACGGATTCTAGAAACGCCGAAAAGAGCTTTTACCAGCTTCTTCTTGTTGTGCTTTGTGTTGAGATTCATCAGGAAGTTGACTGCAGCATTGTCAATCATTTCGCGATTTACACAATTTGGCAGATGCGTCAGAAAAGCATCCAGCAGTATCTTGTTACTCGTGTTGGAAATCTGAGGCTCCTCAACTTCTACCTCAGGTAGCTCTTCGACCTTCTCAGTTTCTTCTAACTCGTCAAAGACAATTTCTTCATCGAGAGCATCTTCCGTTATTGCCGTGTCCGTCTTTGGGATATCTTTCGGGGTGTCCTTCAAATACGAACCTGGTAAAAAAACAGTCAAATCCGGGAACACCTCATAAAAACGTCTTGTCTCTTCGTCACCCCACATATCCTCCAACATAGCGTTATCTTCTCCCTCATTGATCATCTTCAGTGTTTCCTCCACTTCTGCCTTTATTTCATTGTCCACTGGAAGCTCCGGCATCGGTTCATCTAGCGTATCGGAAAAGCTCTGCACATTGGTTAATAGACGCTCATAACAGACTTGTAAAGCTTCAAGTTTTTCCTTTCGTTCCGAACTCAGTTCTCCCCTAGTCTGCAGTATTTTGCGATTTTGTTTCTCGAATGCCTGCAGTTCCTTGTGCTCTTTCAACATATGCTTACACAAGGAGTTGTAATACTCCCGTAACAACAGCTTGACATTCTGCTGCTTGTCCGGTGATAACATTTTACTCTTTGGAATTGAAATGTTCAATTTCTCGGATAACTCTCGTACCTTTTTAGGTACAAGACCAGCGTAATCTTCGCCACAATGTCGACAAAAACTCAATATTATGCTAGCATTATTATGCTCCTCTTTGTCCATATTGATCAATACGGTTAGTACCGAGCCAAGTAGTGGCAAGCCCTGCTTATGTGTAAATATTCCAGCATTTACCAATTCTGCATAGAATCGCAAATCTACTCTCAGCTTACTAGGATTTGTTATCTTGTCGCCAACCTTCAGTGACAGTATCCTTTGCCAATTTTCAAAAAAATGAGTAGAAAATTCGGCGTACGTCTGATGGAGAAAACTACATACCCTAATAGCAGGTGCTACGTCAATCATTTTTATTTTAGCATCTACTAGAGCAGTGGCAACTTCGCTCACATATTTGGTCAGATTTAAAGTCGCCATATCTTTCAAAACTGTGTCGAGTTGAGCCATGCTAAAGTTCTTCAGTTTCTTGACAAATGTAGTATTTTTCTTGAGGCTTGAGTCAAGTTTACTGAATGATGCATCTGGGGGCCTTGCAGGATTGAGATTGGCCATGCGAATCTCTTCCTTCATTGCGAGTCTCTGTTCTGTTTCTCGCACATACTCAGTCAAGAACTGCCGGTCCTTTTCCGAGACCGCATCCGGTTCTTCCGCGGTAGTCTCTTTCTCAGCCGATGCCGCTTCGTTCGCGTTTTCGGACATTGTAGTATACTCTACAATGCAAAGAAAATCGTATCATTCTCGTTTTTCCTCGGTAAATGTAATATCTCAAGTTAAAATGCAATTGAATTTAAAAAAAAAACCAATTCGTACATTGCGGCATTAGAATAGTTAAGTATTACCCTAAAGATAATTTACCAATTTAACAAAGAAAGATTATATACATACAGGTTACTTCATGAATCTTAATTAAATACCTGGTTGAAGAAATCGTTTGATGAAACTATTCCACTTGTTTACTATCGCGTCTGAGAACTTAACAAGGTTAGGTACGTTATGTTATGGCAGACGACAATCCGCTCCATTTGCTTCACAAACTATAAATACCTGATAAATGCAACTGCAGCTTGTCGTTCCTGTTCTTTCTGATATTGGGTGCATTCAGTACTACGACCGTTCAATGAGCGCTCAGTGAGCTCTTGTATATGTTTGGTCTATATTTTTAGTTCTAACGGAATATGCCAATCAGATGCAAGAGCTCATTGAGCACTCAGTGAGCGGTGTAGTATTGGATGCACTCATTGAATCCTGAGCAGTGCACCACGTGTATGATCGGTATATAGTTGGTTCTTATTTTTCGATCAT